TTTCCCTGTGTTTTCTTTATTTTTTTACTCTAGGCTACTCTTGCTAGAAGGAAAAACTCCCTTTAAAAAATCCCAACCTGAAAAATTACCTGGATTTCCAAGCAACAAGAAGAAAGTGTTATCTATTCTAGGAAAGAGTCCTATTTGCTTAACAAAATTAACGTGTGTTTTAATGACACTTTTAGACTACCACACTGTAATTGACTCTTTTGATACTGTATCAAAATCATCTTTAAGAGAATTACCATATCACTATTTCCCTTTTTTTGTCCTTTCAAAAGGACAAATTAATCCAATGTGGGACATAAGTCTTCTATTACAGAAAGAGGAATACAAAGAAATTTTCACTTTTTATTGGTGCATGTAGCACTAATCTTTATAGCCAAGGCTGCAAAACCAGCTTCTATGTTGCCACATACTGCATCACTTTAAGAAGTTACTGAAGGAATCACCGCTCCCAAGTTTCTACTCCCCTTCATTCCTGTAAAACATCTCAGGGATAGAAATTATTAAAACATAAGCTACATACAGAACATTAGAAATCAATTCTGCCTAGCCACTGCATTTTCTTTCACACAGTCCAGCTGCCTAAATTTAGCATGCGTGTTTTTATTTCTGTTAGAAACTATGTTAACAAACTCCATGTGGCTCTCCAGTATCTTTGATACTGAACCAGAGGCTCGAATATGAAGTCTGGAAATTGCTGGGGTCAAAAATCTGAGTTAGGAAAAGAAGGATGAGTAAGTGGGTTGTACCAGTAACCAAGTGCAACTCCACTTAGCATGGAAAGCTCTGGATTAGGAATGAAATACGGAGGAAAAAAGCATACATGAGTTTCACATGTAAGTACATCTAATTACACAATTAGAAGTTTCTGAACCGTTAGACACCTAGGCTAAACCAGCAGCCCAGGCTGAACCATCAATGGAAAGAGAGAGGTTCCTTTCCAGAGGTACCTTTTTAGAGGCAGGTCATCCCCCCTCCAGGGGGTCTGGAATAGGTACCTTCAGGGAGCTGTTCATCCTACCTAATTTTTACCACCTGCTTCAGCAATGTCTGGAAATCTAAGTTTCATGAGGAGAACCTCACCCACAATATTTGAGGTAAAACAGAAAAACTGAGGTAACTGCATGTGTTCACTATGTTTTCTATGGGTGTCCAAGACAAAACTTCTCCCCTGTGCACACTCTTGGGAATCCTGCACCACTTCACATGATTGCTATCTAGCTATTATGTTAATCTTACACAAATACACTCTTTCACAACTATCCACTTCCATCTTTGTGAGTTACTTGTGATTCTTGGAAAGCAAAAGATTTGGATCCACACATACCAGCCACCCTTACTCTGCTTGCACTGTGTCTCAATTTTGCATCATCTTCACCATGCTTTGGCGCAGATACTTTGCCAGTGTACTCCCTTCACATGTGAAAAGAGTTATTTGTGTCCAAAAACCTTTTCCTCAGCTCTACACTGAAAGGAACTGAACAGCCTGAAGAATTACTTCAAAAAGAAAATCAATTTGGCAGTTAAGCCGTGATGACAATGAACTGGAAATCAAGTATTACGGTTGAAAATTGCAGTTGTACTCAGCTGGTACCTAACAAGTATTAGCTTCTGAAATTCTCTAACAGCTGTAAAAGGTAACAGTCATTACTGGATAGGTCCTGTCGGTATTCCCTGAAATTACAAAGCTGCCATCATGCAATTCTTATTTCTTCTTGGACCCACCGTACCTAAAAAACAATGATCCTCTTGTGCTGTGGAAGGGATGGAATGTGAAAATCCCATCCACATCCCAACAGAATCCCACAAACATTTTGGCAGTAAAAATCTATTAACTAAAGCCCAGATGGCATCCCAAATATTTCTACTTCAAAATTTAGAAATTTTTTTTTTTTTTGCTTAAAATAAACTACACAAAGGCATCACGCCTAAAATTAACTATACAAAAGCATCAGGCTAGGTAACCAGACTTAACTGAGCAGTTATTTGGACTATGAGAAGAACGTGAATGTGGCTTTCTCCGTTTAACTTCATTGTCAGAAATGAAGACTATTTTCCTATTCAAATATATTTGAATGACTGGCAGAGAAGGAAGATATAACAAGCAGATACATCCAGTAACATACTATACTTTGAGAAGAACTTTTCCAGTTATCTAGAGCCTAACAGCTTTACCATAAACTTTTGTAGCAACATTTCAAACGTTCAGAACCAAATTTGCTATTTTTTTTATTGTTAACGGAGTTGAGTACTTTCGCTTACCTTTTGGTTTTCTCCACCATGCAATTTCAGCTCTGAGTCTGGGAATATGGTCTTCAAAATGGTTTTAGCGACTGCTTCACCAAAGCAGCTAAACCTGATTAGCAGTTCAGTTTCAACATCCAACTTAATCACTGCATATGCCCTTTAAGCTATGGGATAAAGATCGATCCTTGATTCTGACTGTCATTTTGCAGTGAGCCCACTCCTACATTCCTTTTATATCTATCACTTCACTGAATGCCAAAGAAATCTCAGTGTACTTGGCATGAAGGCTGCACTTCCTATATTTATGCTCCCACTAATGTATGCTCCATTTTAGTCCTTACAAGCTTAAAATCATCTGTGAGGGAAGACACAAAGCGCAAACCAGTTCATGCAACTGTTTACTGATACAAAATATTGTTCACCCACATTGCCTTTCCATCATCACCTTTCTCCTGGATTGTATGTTTAAATATACCCAAAAAGTTAACATAGAAGGATCCATGGTCATTTTCTTAAGTGAACAGTATACAGTCATATTAGGATTGTTGCTCCTACTCCAATTTTCAGTACCTCCAGAAAAATAAATCAGCACTTTTTAATTGTAATACCTTAACTTTGCTGGCAGATTGATTCTTCAAGACAGATGAAAACGAAGTGCTCTCTCCAGGCAAGAATTCCTTATATCTGGCACACTAACACTTCATCCTTTTAATTATTCCACAGGTGGTTGCCTTGGAAACTGCCAAGTAGCTCTTGGATTTGAGGGATCCAGCATGAGAAAGTAACAAGCCTTTGTAGCCACGGCATTTGGATCCACGTTGGCTGCAGCAACAGGGTAACAGAACGGTTGTGAAAACCTGAAAGAGATGGTTAAAATTAACAGAGATTAATTACATTGCTCAATTCTTCCATAATAAAATACAGTGAACGTTGATGGCCCCTTAACAGTGGATACAAATTAGGCTTCAGAGAAACACTGCTCACGTAGCTTTCCAGCACAGAGCTGAATTTCACCTTCAAGAGCACAGCACTAAAATGTTGATGCCGAAAAAGCTCACGAGTTCAGCTTTCAAGATCAAGCAATACGAGATTTTCCTCAGCTTCAACAGAGACCTTCCAAAGTGTCTGGTCAAACTGCCTGAAATTCAGTGCTATTGTTTTTCTTCGAATAAAAATAGAGGAACTATAAATAGCGCCCATCACGAATGCTGAATCACTGTATTTTGTATCATACAGCAAATTGCTTCAAACTTCATTTAGCCTTTAAAAACCAGGAAAGTTTTGTTTGCTTGAAACACAATTAAGAGCCTAGAAAAGCAGCTAATCCTGCATTCATATAGCTTGTCTAAGAGTACAGAAAATTTTCCTTTCCTTTCCCCCTCCAATTTCTCATTATTTCAAAAGCTGACCATTTGCACTTTAAAAAAAAAAAACAAAAACAAAACAAAAAAACACCATAAACCAACAACATGAACTAAAACCCCAAACCAAAGCAAAACCTAATTACATTTTCTGTCACTGGTCAAAGTTAGAAATCTCAATTTTTCAAAAATCTTTTTTCTTTTCTCATATTCACTTTGTTAACAAAAAATAGGTTAATGGTAAGCCTTAGAAAAATAATTTGCACGAAAACTATCAATCACACCAACGGTCACTCCTGTACCCAGAGGCTGTCTCATGAAAGATAGGGAGGATCTATTAATATGTCCAAGCTAACAGTGATTTCGCAAGACCTTGCTCAAATATATATGCATTTTGATTTGCAGTATTAACAAATTGCCTGACGGCACCGTGGAGGTGGATTTGCCTGCACTTTTCTGTAACAAGACACCTAAAGGCCGTAAGAATGTGTTTGTTAATTCTAGAGCTAAGTTTTATTAGAACCAGAGTAATTATGTATTTATTTCACAGGGAAAAAAAAAAAAAAAAAAAAAAAAGAGTTCAACTCAGGCAACAGAAATTAAGGGGGTTCTGAACAACTGCCCCAGTACCCAATTTGTCCTTCCAGGGCAGGTCCTCTCCTTCAGGCTTGCTCTCTGCCTGGCAACTCCGTACATTTCTGGCTTGCAAAAAACACCACACAGCCTGCTTTGGTCCCAAGGGAAAAAAAGCTGCAGGTGTTCCTATCCCCACCCATCCCACAGTCCTGCCCCTCCACCCCTCCCCAGTCCTCTCTTCTAGCACTCTGCTCCTGACAGACACTTCCAAAGTCACAGCAAACCTCAGAACTACTTAAAATGCATCTTTTTAACTTGCTGAATAACCACCAAATTGTACTGCCGCCTTCCCCCTTTCTTGCCTTCCTGAATCATTTCTTGATTGACAATTAGAATAGGAAATAGCTTTCCTTCTCTCCCTCATCCAACCTCACCAGGGACAAAGCATGTTTAAGTAGTCCTACACAGGTTGCCTCTTTCCTGGTGTAGTTTCTCCTTGCCTCCTCCCGCGCATCCTTTTCACTGACAAAACTTGCCCCTTTATGAGCAAGGTTTCTGAAAGACAACCTGACAAGAACAGGCATTTTCTTTCCCTCATTCCCCAGCAGTTCCACAAGTGAGACCCATTTAATCATTTCTGATTAAACTTAGATGTACGCAAGTTTTCTCAATTCCCCTGTCCCACCAGCCCAGGGTACACTACCTCCATCCTCTAGGAAATCCAACCTGTCTCCCTTCCAGTCCATCAGGTTTGCTTTGCGTCTTGTAGGGATTCTCCCTGCAGAAATGGCGTGCCAAAGTACTGCGAGAAGTTGAGAGTATTTGCTCTGTTCCATCTCTTCACAAATACAGAGAACAGCTCCTGTGTGTCCTGCTACTCCAGAAACAAATCCTCATCTTTCCCAGTTCTCGAGTGTCTCTGACAGACCAAGTCTCCAAAGCCTCAAAATGACCTTTTTATCACCAACAGCTATGTTTCTTTTGAGGAAAGGTAGATTTTTTTTTTTTTTCTTCCCTGCCTCAGGATTCTTGACACTACTCTCAAGCATATCTCACTTTGTACTCATCAGCTCATTTTGTTGCTTCTCGTAAGGAAGACAGACGAACTTTATCTACATCAACTCAAAGACTGTGTTAATCTGTCACTGTTCCAGACCAAATCTAGTACATGACCAGTTCCCCAGTGTTTGTCCTTTTAACCTACCAAGATTTTTCCAAAAATAGCTCATCCAGTTCTCAACAGGAGCTAACCCCTCCCATTTTCATTTGCCTTGTTCTCAGAGCAGTATTATCCTAAGGTTAATTCCAACTTGCGTCTCAAGGCGGCTTCTCCTACACCCTTCTGAAGGCATCTCTCAATAAGCTGACTTGTGGAGTCTTCATCTGTAGTAGCTGATGGAACTACTACATCTTTTCCCTGTTCTCATCATCCCACAGCAAATAAATTATTTCAAGGTTGTAAGAGGAAAGGTCTTGATAGCCTTTTTCTTTTTTTAACTATCCTGGAAACCTTTGTAAGATATCCTGATGGTAAAAACAGCCGTTTTAACACATGCTTTTCAGATGCTCTGTTTCTGTGAGCAACGCTACCTGTGTAGTGGCTGATCTTTGCCATGTGCTTCCAGATCAAGCTTTCTAATCCCAGTTCAGTCTCTGCCTATCTAGTGATCTGAGTCAGTTCTTGGGCTCCTGAACCATCTTGCTGCTCCATATAGATAAAGGTCACGCACTGGAGACATGAGATTAATCCAATGCCTGACTTTGATTTCTTTTAGGTTCTGTAACATTCATCCCTCTCAGGTGCTACCAAGACACCTGGATCAACAACAAGCTCTAGTAACCAAGTTTTTGGCTAACCCTTTGAAGAAAGTGATGTCACATTCTCTGCAGCTCTTTTCTCGGCTTGAGGGAATGTTTTTGTGCTGCTGTCTCTGCAAAATATAAATAAAATGAAGTCTTCTGTCTCTGTCTTCAGAGGACATATGTCTTTGCTCACTTCCAGCTTCAGCCCCCGAGCCCAGGGCTGCTTTCAGATTCACATCTTGTCTCTAACACCACTGCTACGAGACCCTGAGTCACCGAGTGCTTGGAGGAGCTGCCTGCACTCCTCTTCTGAGCAAGCATCATCAAAACACTGAAAGCACTGTGAACGCCAGAGCTCAGCATTACTAGAAAATACATAAAGCACAGAACTCTTAGCAGTAAAACTAAAAGCAAGATAAATAAGAGACTTTTCAATAAATCCCCTAGTTCAATGTGGTTTCAGGGGTTTTTTTTCAAGCTTGTTCACAATCCATTAACAACCTAATTTTGCATAATCCCTATGCATCCCCAAAGGAAAGTCTTTGCTTCTGTGTCTGAGCACTTAGTTTTCTCCTCCTCAGTCTCCATTCCTGATGCAGGCTCCTTTCTGACCCATCTCTACCCCATCCTCCCAAAAGCTGCCCCAAAAAGCTGCCCCTCCAAAAAGCTGCCCCTCCAAAAAGCTGCCCCTCCAAAAAGCTGCCCCTCCAAAAAGCTGCCCCTCCAAAAAGCTGCCCCTCCAAAAAGCTGCCCCTCCAAAACGTGCTCAGGTGCTCTCAGGGAACACAAAATCTCCTTCCTACCAGAGACCTGCACCTGATGGAGGGTGCAGCAGCCTGGACAGCACAGCAGGGAATCTTCCTCCCACTCTCCTCAGCAAAGATGCAAGTAACTCAAACACCATTCATGATGCATCCTACATCAGGGATTTCAAAAAGAACCCGAAGGTCAAATTGCCGAAACCTTAATTAACAATATCCAAGTTCTAAATTCCCTTTTTCCTCTGTGGAAATCCCTCATCAGTTTATGTCAGTACGGTACATTCAAGCCATGACCACGCTTCTTAGTGCAAAGGTTCTGTTCTTGGCTTCACCCACAGCTGAATTAATAGGTTTGGAAAACTTAATGACCATTAATTTTAAAATTGTGGTTTCTCTCTTTACAATTTCTCTTAAAAAAAAAAAAAAGCGTCTTCAAAATCTGCTATGCATAGAACTGATATGCAGCCACAACCATATTCCTTAGTGAACTAGAAAGCTGATGTTTTCAAAATAGTTGTACTTGGGGCATCTGAAGGAGGGACACAAATGACTTTTACCAAGTACGAGACTTCCTTCTAACTTTATGTTTTGCATGTTTTTAAAATACATATATTGTAGATCATATACACAATAGCAGAGAGGCACTATAGTGAGAGTGAGCCTCACTGCCCTCTTGGGAAATAAAGGTAAAGCCTCCCACTGATTCCAAAGGCAGCTGAGTGAGGTTCCAGAAAGAACTTGTCATTTGAGAGTCTAAAAAAAAAAAAAAAAAAAAAAAAAATTAAAAAGGGTATTTCAGCACTGTTTACTGATCATCCCTTCTTATATCCTTTATTTTCCACCTGAAAATAAGTTAAATGGTATTTTAGCAAGACGTGTCAAACCTGGAATCCTTTTTTGAGAAAGCTCGTCAATAATTTTGTGTGTTTACTATTTAAAATATAACAAGGGAAAAATAGCAGCAATCTTCTGAAAACTTTGATGGTTGGCAAGAATCCCATCTTTTCACAGATTTCTGAAGAAAGAGAAGACCCTATGTTGTGAAGAAAATTATTTGCTCCTTACTGTGGTGGTATTTTAAGGTTTACTTGCAAGAGTTCAGTAAATAAAAAGGCATCTTTCTCTTAAATTATTTTGAAGTACAAACATCTAAATCAGACCGCAAAGCCTTCTTTATAAACTATTCCACCTCCAGTGAAGACCATCGCAACTTCGCTATTTTACAGCTTTACCAGGCTAATACATATCTGCACAATAAAAACTAAAACAAAGATGAAAAAGAACAGAAGAGACACCCTTTTCTGTCTTCAATAAAAACTTAAAGTGAGAGTTTTAAATGAGAATCATGGGAATTTCCCTTATAAAATCACAGGTGGCCAGAAAATTTTTTACCCAAGAAAGTTTTTCACAGATTCAACACAAAAAAATAAATTATACAAAATAGATGTAAAAAGAACGATCAGGATATGACACTTTGCCTGGGCCATGACGGCTCAAGAACACGTGCCAACCAGCAATGGTATGAAGGGGAAGGAGAAGACCTGTAAGAAAGCTGGGAGGCTCAGTAGAAACGAAGGCAACTGAGGAAGAGGTGCAGCAGCAGAACATCCTTAGGACAAGTGTGGCTGGGCAGCTTCGAGGAGTTGCACTTAAGATAGCCCAAAATCAAATGGTCACTTTAAAGAAGTTTGAGTTGAATGCACGCTGGCAATCGGTCAGATCTCAAGTGAAGCGGTTTCTTCCCTCTCCATCTAAGTGGTAGCAACAGCTCCAACGAACCGGGCTATTAGGAGCTCCTAAGCAAAACCAGAAGGATAAGGAACAGAGTCCTCTTGCAAAACAGGCCTCTACAACCGTGTTCATCAGTTCCCATGCATAAAGTGAGGTCTGTACCAGCTAGAACCTGTGAAGATGAACTCCTGATGAAATAATGCACAATTAGATTATCCAAAACCATCTCAAAAGAAGAGGGAATACTTCTTAGTCTTAAGTAAATGTCGGTTTTGCACTATGCTGCCAGCAGAGGCATGGGAGCAGCATGCTGAATAGTAAGAAACAGCAACTATGTGCTTCATCCGTTTAGCACTGCTGCCTAATCAATACCGGAATCTTTTGGTAAGAATATATAAAACAATTTTATATATCAACTTTCACAGTAGTAAGAATCACTGCTAAACTTAAATGCAAGCAAAAAAAAAAAGTGTATTTTGACAGCACTAAAAAAATGAAATAATAATAAAAAAATAATAAACAGTCAACACTTTCAGCAATATCTAGAAGAGCTTTTTTTCCTTATACAGAGAACAACATCAGTGCGTGATGCCCCAGAAGACTGATACATATTCTGACTTTCTAGTTCATAGCTACACATGCATGCACAGGGACAAACGTCAGTGTTTTGTGGCGACAGAGTAAGGTTTGGAGCCACTCCCTTGCTCAGACTGGATAACCTTGTATTGCTGGGCTTGACTTGTCTCTGGGATTTTGCTCCTCAGAGCTCCACCTCTTTATCTCAGAAAACCACACCCTTCCTCAGACTGCAGAGGAAGACAAGGGAACTAGCGTGATGTACATCTCTCTCTCAGCTTTGTAAAGATTGATGATACTCTCCTCTCACCAAAAAGCGTGATAGAGCATTCGAAACACAAGAGCTGGCACAGAGATTGACTCCCAAACGCTCTCAGAAGAGACACAAAACATTCAGTAGAGAGAACACAATATTTTCTTTACCATGAAGTTCGCCTCGTTTAGTATTAGACATTGTTCAACAGCTAGGTTTTAAGACATCCCGTTACCTAATAAATATCCATTTGTATCTTTAAGTTTGTTTTTCAAAAAAAATGTTTACTAAACACAGTCCTGCGTACTGGGAATTTCCACTTTCAGCCTAACACACTAATTTGCTTCATATAAGCCCTCTAGTAAACCAGTCGAAAGCCTTTTTCCCTGGAGTATTAGTTGCCAATTACTACAACACAGATACTAAAAATTTATCAACAAAATAAATGTTAACAACTTGACAGTACTTGCTTCTGAACAGCTTTCGCTACATCAAATAACTGCATTTTTTTATTCCAGTGTTCTGACGTCCACCTGGTTGTAAAGTCGTGATGTTATCACCGTGAGGACCAAGCCGCAGACGCAGAGACATGCTGCTGGCTGCAGAGCAACACGAGCCCCCATTAGAACGTGATTATTTCTAGCAGAAAATGGCCAAGAACCAACAGCTGGAAGTAACTCTGCAGTTTCACCATCTGCTGCTGCGACAGCCACCTTCGCCCATTTCTCATCCCTGACTGTTCGTTCCTGTCCCTGTTCCACCTCCTCGTTTGTAACGGCACCCTTCACGCAGCTCTGCTATGAACCAGATGTTGGTACTGACCCTGGACAAATCTGATTTTGCTGCTGCTGTTGCTGGTTCTGCAGTGGGTTCACTGTACAGCTGTAGAAAGATCAGGCCAGGACCAGGGCCCAGTGCTCCGGCCACGCCAGCTGGCACCAAAGCAGGAACATCGACTGAGGGAAGCTGATTGCTTCTTTCAGCAGCTCTGCCAGTTTATGCCAGCTTAAAATGCCCATAAAACTATGGCAAACTAGAAACCAGACACATTCAAGTTAGAAATGCAGAGAAACACGACAAAAAAGAAAGCGCAGACTGTTTAACCAATAGAACAAATTACTGTAAGAGACGTTGAAAACTTCATTTCTAAGTAACTTCAAAATAAGACAGCATGCCTTTCTGAAAAAAAAAAAATCCACAAATGCCTGTTAATTTTTCAGTCAAACATGAGCTACTAAGCTCAAAACAGGGAGTAACAGTTACACATAATGACCTGCAATACTCTAAATGTCAGACTAAATTATCCAACAGTTCCTTCTGCCTTGTATCTTTGAAACGTATATATATTTTAGTTCTCTCCCTGGTTGTGTCAGATCAGCGTACTTTAACAGTTGGAAGCAACAGAATCAAATTTAATGATATCCCTGCTTGGAACACGTCCAGGGGTTGAATCCGATTTCATGTAGAAACAAGAAGCTCTAACATTTGATCTGGAATTCGTACCTCGTTAGAAGGGAAGCAGCAGAAGTCTCACTTGTTCCTGCTACCAAGCTGGCGGTGAGGGAGAAGGAGCCATGCTGCGCTAGAACTGGTTACCGACCTCGTCAAAACTCTCAGCTGTGAACGTGGTGAATGATAATTTTGCCTGCCACAAGCAGACAGCCTCAGCGAGTCGGAATCTTCACGTTCAGGAGCACTAAGTAGGAGGGTCAAATTAGAAATCTTGGCTTTCAGCATCTTTCTTCATGCTTCAGTATGTTATGGGTGAAGGAAGATGCTTTATCTCTGCCTCAGTAACGGTATAGTATTTCATCCCTTGCAAAAAAAAAAAAAAAAAAAAAAAATCTATAAATCTACAAGACATGTAGCACTTGGCAGCATTTCATAGCTGCTGAGTGACTAAGATGAGCTCATTTAACACAATTTTGAAAGAAATGTATTGTTTTACACGTCTAAGTCTATACATTTTGCAAGGCAATGAAAAAAAAGAAGAAGAAGAGCCGATGCAGTGCACGGCCTGAAGAGTGTGGCCTGCTGCCAGTGCCCACACATACTTCTCTCTTTTTCAGCCTCTGTCATATACACACACCCCCTGGAAAAAAAAACAATCCGCTCAGGGCAAGTAGGAGCATTTTTCTAATGCTGCCAACTTCTGCCAAAATTCTATTTTCATTTTAAATTAAAGATTATGCTCATTTAGCCACAAGATAGTTAACTTACGCAGCAACATCTGTCAGAGAAGTAGAAATGGAGCAAGCTGGTACAGGGCAGGGAATCAGGATTCTTTTAAAAATCCCTCCTCCTGCTTCCTGTGTGACCGGTGCCTTTCAGCAAAGTGGAATTAATCCACACCGCTGGCAAACTGCACTTTTAAATCCCACATGCAGAGACAGAATATGGATTGGAGAATTGTGGTCAGGTAGTGGGGAGAAGAGTCATCAATATACAGGATGTGAAAGAAGTGCTGGGAGATACGAGATCATCCCTTATCACACCTAACTGCTGTTTGGCATCATGCACCTTGAAAACCAACTGTAAGCACGTACTGTAAATGAAGACACCGCACAGAAACATCTTAACCATCAGGAGTCTTTAAAGTCCTATTACACTTTCTACAAATTCACATCCTCTGTTGTAGGTTTGCCCTTTTAAGTGGCTCAGTTGTGGGACTTCAGACGCAAGCTCCTCAGCAGAACGAGCTGCACGCAGCTCACGCTGGAGGTAAACCAGTACGGCATGAAAACCCAATGCTACACAAGACTCCTTATCCTACTGTTTATAGTGTTCAATAATAGTAACTAGGTTTCACAAAGGAAAATTCTTTCGGTGTTGTTTCCAATAACCCAAAACAAAACATTTCACTCTTTTAGCAAATGGATACCTGAAATTATCAACCTCCAGTAAATGCATGGAAATTATTAAGAGACGCCAGCAACCGAAGGATGACAGAGGAATAATTTTTCTGTTCAGCTCCAACACTGATTGCCAGACAGTTTAAGAACAAGACTGAGCTAACTAGGGGACAAGTGGCAGTCTACGCATGTAACAGGCAACTCAGCAAGGGCCAATTCGTCAGACTGAGAAACAGGACAAATTAAACCATTTTTAGCTTGGGCTGATTTGGTTATATCATCAACACAAGCTAAAAGTAGCTTCAGAATCAAAGCCGAGTGCTGCAGACGCTGCTGTCGCTGCCGAGTAAGCATATAAAAGAGGCCAGAGGCATAAATCAACTTAAATCCAGTAGGGAGCTACGTAGGTACTAATCACATAGTTTATCCCTAAACATAAATATTTCAGTAAGACATATTTTTGTAAATGGACATATTTTAAAAAAAAAAAAAAAAATAGAAAAATTCTCTTCTGTTTTAAAAGCCAGACCCGAGTTGTTCACTGTAAAAGGATTCCTGTT